CCTGGGTGCTGATCACTGGAGTTAATTGTGCAGTGAGGACATCTGTGTAGACATTTCTGATGGTAGGGGTGTCACTGACCTTGATGGGAGAAATGGAAGACCCTACAGTTGAAGTGCAGAAATGAGTTAACTTACACTAACTTTATTTGAAGTGTGTGTGTGTGTGTGTGCATGTGCACGCACACGTGCACTTTTAATTGGAGCATGAGGATTCCATAGCGGCCCTGGAAGAGCTTAATTCCCAGACAGCATGAAAAGTCAGAGGGGCTCCTCTGTGGTACAAATTTTTGACAGTTAAAGCATATCGGTCCCCAACTGTTATGTAACTGTGCTTCAGCATGGTCATTTTCTTGCTGGAGGTGGGCCCTGAGAGACAGGAGCAGGATAAATAAATAAATTAATAAATGGAGATATCCTATCTCCTAGAACTGGAAGGGACCTTGAAAAGTCGTCGAGGTGGAAGAAGGCGGAGGTGGGGGGGAGGAGGTCTTTTTTCTAAGATTTTAATTGGCAACCTATATATCAGGGGTGGGCAACCTTTCAGAAGTGGTGTGCCGAGTCTTCATTTATTCACTCTAATTTAAGGTTTCGCGTACCAGTAATACATTTTAACATTTTTAGAAGGTCTCTTTCTATAAGTCTATAATACATAACTAAACAATTGTTGTATGTAAAGTAAATAAGGTTTTTAAAATGTTTAAGAAGCTTCATTTAAAATTAAATTAAAATGCAGAGCCCCCCGGTCTGGTGGCCAGGACCCGGGCAGTGTGAGTGCCACTGAAAATCAGCTCGCATGCCACCTTCAGCACGCATGCCATAGGTTGCCTACCCCTGCTATATACTCCCTTGGTTGGGACTTTGAAACAACTTTTTCTCCATTGTTTGATCTTTACTTTTAACAGTTGCTACATCTAAGTCCAGTGTGTACCTTGTAAAAGCACAGCTCCTTCAGGAGAAGCTGTGTTTCAAAAGATTTAAGTAGGGCTTCTGATTTTTGATTTTAACCAGTAAAACATCCCTCCCTCCACATACACACAAGTGCAGTATTTATCCACTAAACACCAGAAATGGTTACTCAATTCATGTTGACTTCATCTCTTTCCTAGTGCAGTTTGTTTATATATGTGATGTTCCGCTCCTTGGCTTATATCTAAGGGCTTGTCTACACAGAGCAGTAATGCGGACTACGGGGATGTGATTTCTAAAGTGCACTAAGGTGTTCCACGTGAATTGGTCTGTATAGGCCCTACTGTTGCACTCTCGTAACATAGTGCTGTTTGAAACAGGACTACGCGTATATACAAAGAGAGATCCCCGAAACCCACTGATTTTTGGATAGCTACAGGGAAGTCAAAAATTAGTAAAAAAAAAAAACAAAAAAACAACCCCCCCCCCCCCAAATTAATTTAGTAAACTCCGAAACCCAGAAGCCTTTGATAAAAGCCTTTTTAACGTCTTTAAAATGTTCCCCTGTCAGTTTCTTACAGCATTATTTGTGTTCCCACAGTGTGCTTTGTGCTGTGCAGTGCCTGCTTCCAATCTAGCGCAGTCTGTTAAAACAGTTCAGACATATGCGGGTTTTTCTCCCCCATGTAGCTTAGCAACTATGGAGGACGACGATCTCTGAAAGGAGGTAGGCAAAACTAACTCTTATAGATGCCTCTCATCAGAGCCCCGGTGCAGCAGGGGGCAGAGATTGCACTGTGTGTGACCCAAAATCGGGCATGCAAAGCGTTCTCTGCCTACCCCGAGCAGCCTACCTTGCCTATAAATATCCATGCTGATGATATGCAAACTTTGTGTTAGGTGTAACAGCTATATAAAGGGAATAGTAAGTTCAGAAATTCACAGCTATGGCTGTCTTGGCATATGAGAACTTTTCAACTCAAAATTGTCCTAAAACTTACTTTTGTTTAAAAACAAACAAACAAACAAAACCTGTTGCATTTTTTTTCTTTCTCCCCCCCCACCCCCCAAAAAACAAACCTTCCCTTGTTGTGAGAACCTGGAAGTGCAGCTGATTCTAAACAAAACCATAACTGGGTTAAGATGAGAGAAATGAAAAAAAATGAAACTGGGTTTTTAAAAGATTCTCAGTTCTAATAATCTAAGATGGAGTTTTAATATCAACAAGGGAACCTATTTAAAATATGATTAAATTCAGTCCCATTAATGTACTTAAATATTGATAGGGCCTGTCTTTACAAGATCTCAACGCTGAACAACCTACCATGGGCAACTTTCCTTAGCTATGTTAGTGTCCAGGTATCCTCTTCTTTCATCACTTTCAGAGCATGTGTAGGTGGATAGGGTTCATGTTCTCAAAGCTCTGAGAATTCCCTCTTCTCTCCCCACTTGCTCCCAGATTGAGGGCTTGATACAACTCCCTTGCTGAACAAGTCAATGCCACTTTTAATCAGCTATTGGTATGAGAACACTAAAATGCAGACACCTACCAAATCAGCTGCTCTACACTAACAGCCCCTGTCACCGTGGGAGTAATGTCTGGGCATCAGATTTAGGTATCTGGCATGCCAGGTTTTTGACTGCTAGGCCAATAGTTCCCAGCCTTTTGGGGCAGTTTTATAGCAGGTGAGTGTGCGTAACTGAATGGTATATGGGTAATGTAGGCTAGTCTAGAAATTCACTGAAGCAAGGAGGGGTCATGAAAGCCAGTGTGACTTGGCCTGTTCCCATCTCATTTTAAAAGTGAAACAGGTTTGGGCCTGCTTAGTACCCAAACTGGTTCTTGCCTAATACTTGATGTATTGGGCTTGCTGTTTCATTGTGATACCAATGGCTGCTCTCAACGGTTTTTATATATTTGATGGCCTTTATCATAAAAACCCTGCTCATAGGCTGGATGCACTACTGTTAAGTGCAGGGGTCATTGCTGGGATGGAAAAAGCTAACTGTTCACTTGATTACTTGCTTGAATTCCTTTCTGTATTCTGCACTAACCACTTCGGGCATTGTAACTTGTAGATATGCTTGCCAGAAGGCATTTGGGACCATAATCGTTAAAGATGGTGTCACAGGAAGTCTGGTCCCTGTAAATGAAGTAGGTTCACCTCCCCTGTGCCAGGACAGGTGCTCCCATTTGGCTAATTAAGAGGGCTGGGCAGTACCTGCGGCTGTTCAGGATTAGGAAGGGGAGTCCCCATGAGTCAGAGCAGACCGGTTCAGTCAGGAGGGGAGGTGAGAGCTGGACTGGAGGTGAGAGAGGGGACTGGAGGAGTCCTGACAGGAAGCAGGAGGTATTTCCTGGGGAAAGGCTGAAGGCAGGGAGAGCAGCAAGAGGGGTTTGCTGGCTGGCATCCCCAAGCCAGAGAGAGCCAGAACTGAAGGAGCATCATAGAGAGTTGCTTGCTGGCTCTAAATTGGAGGGGTGGGGGGAGGGCTGAAAGCAGGGTAGTAGTGGAGGGGCTTACAGGGCCAGAGAGCTGGACCCAGAGGAGTGAGGGATGCTTCCCTGGCAAGAAGGCTCCCCAGTAACAAGGTTGTAGGGGTTCCCATTGGGAAGAACAGGGGTGTTCTCCAATTGGAAGGATTACGGTGGCTATTCTGGTACAAGGACAGGAGAGAACTGACAGAGCCAGGGCGTAGTGAGAGATGCTAGGGAGCTGGGGTCTGCTGAAGCTGTATTTGATGCTTTGTCTAGACTGTGGTGTTGTGACTTATGTGCCCAGGTGTGTGTGTGTTTCTCTTGTAATAAATGAAATGTACAAGGGCTATGGGAACTAAGAGAATCTTTGCATTGTCTCTGGGACCTCTGAACGAGGGAAGCTGAGGCAGGTGTGCCTGTCATGCCACAACCTGTCACAGGAGGGCACTCCAGGTGGGGCGGCCTGATGACAGATGAAAGACCTGCATACAATTAATTATATTCCACCCCTTGAAGGGTTGGATAGAGTCTGTGCCATACATTTTGCACCAAGTCTCTCTCTCTCTCTCTCTCTCTCTTAAATTAAGTCTTACACATGTTGTGCAGGTGGCAAGATGACAAACTACCAAGCAGGATGAGAATTGAACAACGTGGTGTGAGTGGGAGGAGGAAAAGTTAAACCACCTTAAGCTCCATAAATGAAATGCTTCGGTTGTGCTAGTATTTAGAGTGGGGAACTAGGTGTCAGGGCTCCTGGGTTCTCTTCCTAGATTTGCTATTTAGCCATTGGATGGCCTTGGGCAAATCGCTTAATCCCTCTGTGTGCCAGAGTATTCCTCTGTAAAAGAGAGACTGCACCTTCCTCAGAAGGGAAACTGTGAAGCTGAATTCATGTTTAAAGTACTTTGAGATCCTTAGATGAAAAATAATATATAGCACTTTATATTGGTCCATAGATATGTTCATGCTGGTCATTCAGATACCATGGGAGCAGTGTCAGTACCTGGCTAGATACCTCATGGAAAGCTTCTCTTCTCTCTCTCCCCCCCCCCCCCCCCGCCTTTGTAAATACCCAGTACAAAGCCGGTTAAACATTGTGTTTTGCATTATGTCTTGAAGGCCAGTAGACTGGTCTCTAGTGAACAGCAAGATGGAGTGATTTCCAGCATCTTTATAGTAGGAGGAGTTGGCAGAGGAGATCAGATACAGGACTGGTGATCAGGACTCCTGGTTTCTATTTCCAGCTCTGACACAGACTTGTTGTTTGACCTTTGAACACACTCTGAGCCTATGTAACCTCACTTTCCAGATGGGGGGGAAATATAATCCTGACTGACCGCCATAGGGACTCTTAGGTGAAAAGCGCTTTCTCTCTCTAGAGCTTTTCACTTGAGAGAGAATTAATTAGTGTGTGTGTGTGTGTGTGTGTGTGTATAGAGAGAGAGAATGAATTACTACGAATATTATGACTCTAGATAAGGAGGATCTGAGTACAGACTGCTCCTGATGCGGGAATTCAGACAACGATTTTCATTTAAGTATCCTGCTAAGAGTAATTAGGGAACAAACCAGCAAAATTGTTGATTACAGCCTGTTGGCCCTCTTTATCTTCCAGGGTTGCAGTGCTGAGAACAGCCCCCCAATCCTCTGGAATTGGGTGGCACGTGGCGGGATCGGCCATCGTGCAGGATGGACACCTTGAAACGGAGTCGAGCGCAAGCCTGGCCGGAGGAGACGGGGGACAGGGAGCATGGACTCTATAGTTTGCACCGCATGTTTGACATTGTGGGCACTCACCTGACCCACCGGGACGTACGTGTGTTGTCCTTTCTCTTTGTGGATGTGATTGATGACTATGAGAGGGGGATGATCCGCAGCGGCCGGGACTTCCTGCTGGCACTAGAAAGGCAGGGCCGCTGTGATGAGACCAACTTCCGCCAGGTGCTGCAGCTGCTGAGGATTATCACGCGCCATGACCTGTTGCCCTATGTCACGCTGAAGAGGAGAAGGGCTGGTAAGTCACCTGATCTGTGTCCTTGGCTGCTCTTAATGCTCTAGTGAGAGCTAGAGAACTCTGTTGGCAGTTTAAGTCAAGCTGCTGTTGCTGCTTTGCGTTGCTGAGAAGTGAGATGAGAAAAGCTTGTCTGCGGCTGTCCAGTAACAATGTGGGTAACGGTCTGTGCTGCCGTGTGGGACAACCTAGTTGAGAGCCGAGGTCTGTTAAGATAACCTGTCCCATCAGAAGGCAGGGGGAAGACCATACAGTAGAACCTCATTATGAACTGACCAGTCAACCACACACCTCATTTGGAATCGGAAGTATGCAATCAGGCAGCAGCAGAGACCAAAATAAAAGCAAATGTGGTACAGTATTGTGTTAAACGTAAGGTACTAAAAAATAAGAAGGGAAAGTTTAAAAAAAATGATTTGACAACGTAAGAGAACGTTCTGTGCTTGTTTCATTTCAATTAAGATGGTTAAAAGCAGCATTTTTCTTCTGCTCAGTAAAGTTTCAAAGCTATATTAAGTCAATGTTCAGTTGTCAACTTTTGAAAGCACTACCATAATGTTTTGATTAAAGTTACGAACAACTTCCATTCCCGAAGTGTTCGTAACTCTGAGGGTCTACTGTATTATGAAGTTGATCAGATCAACCAGCAGCGGCAGTAAAGTGTTCTGAAAGGAATCCCCACTGGTCCCCATGAGCCTAGAAGCATAATGGGGATGATAGAGGACATTGAGATTGGTGTACAGGTGTGAGATGCTCAGACAAGGAACGTGGGGGAGCTGAGATGGAGATGCCCACCTTTCCTCCATTTCTTTGCTTACCAATAGCAATACCATGCAGGATTTCAGTGACAGAGCAAAACTACCGTATTCATTTATGTACAGAAGTTTGGGGGGAAAGATTCCTTTTTAGACTGAAGTCTCTCCCTTGGTGCTGGCCCAGTTGTGAAAGTCTTCTGGGAAAAATGGAATCAGTTCAGTTGGTTTTGATGCTTGTGTGTAAGGTGAGGATAGGAATGGCAAGCACATGCTTGGGAGCTTTCTTGATTCAATTTTTCACTTCTCCTGCACTCAATTCAAAATTGGGTGTTACAACCTCCAGTGCAGTGTATAACTGCTGTCTTTGATGACTTGATATTCACTACACTGTGGGAGGGAGACAGTTTGAAATGTTAATACATGTCCTGGTTATGCCCTCCCCTTGCTGAGCCCTTGGGAATGTGCACATTGTAAGAGACTAGGGTGTATCTCCCCGGGAGTGAGGCTTCAAAAATACATTTGGCTTCTTCCAGTGTCCGAGATAGTGGGGGGGAGAGGAGGGGTAGGACTGTTTCTCAATCCCTCCTTCTTTCCTTCATCCCACAAAAAATCTGTTCAGAAGGGGTTAATGACCCTTCTGCTTTCTCCCCTGCCCTGTCCCATAACCTGCTTTCATACATTGTGTGCTCCACACACTCAGCATTCTGCAAAGCACTGCTTGGAGAGATTTATTGATGTATTGAACATTTCAATAACCACCCCGGTACAGTGATTCTCCCTTTCGGATCTGAGCAAACTAACCTGTGGGGTCTCATCCACACCGCAACCCTGTACCAATTCTCCAGCTTCCAAACCTTCCTGGATCAATGCCATGCATCCACTGGCTGTGTACTGCCTTAGAGCATGCCAGGATTCCAATGCTCGGCCTCAGAAACTTTGATCCAGATTAAACAGGACCTGACACATCCACCTGTCAGAAGGAAACTTTCACTTATAACAAGGAAAGATTGTCATCAATTTTTGCAGAATTTAAACTTTCATTTTTTATTAAAAAAAACAAAGCAAAACTAGCCCTTAATGGTTGCAAATGTAAATCAACACAATTTTGGCTGAGTCAGCTGCTCTTGGCCTTCCTAAACCACCATGAAATTGACAAGTCTCTGATCAGTTTTCACTGTTGTTGTGCATAGCACTGTGGACACCAGTGGCATTTCATGCTACTGCTTGGGAAAGCTGTGAGCAGCAATATAGGCAGGCATAGAAATGATACACAGGTGAAGGGAAAAGAGGACCAAAAACAGGCTGGGGGAGGTGTCACGTTAGTAACTACAGCCCAAACTTCCTCCTGAGCTGGCTGTTCCCAGGCTTTCTCATGCTCCCCTTTTCATTTGCCTTCGAGACTTTTTAAACTTTGATACGCTTGATCTGGAGCTAAGGAGACCCATCTGGTCTGGTAACTAGGGTGACTCAGAATAGCTATTCATCCTCATGAAAACTCCTAGAACCTGACACCTGGGTTCGCCATAGCTGTTGAGTCGCTCTTGCTGCTGTCTATGTTAGTCTCTTAATTTAATCTGATTACTTTTAGCTGTGTCACCTTATAGCACCCTAAAGAATCCTCCTCCTTCCTTTAGTGTTTAGGCAAGGGTTAACATTAAAAATTGGTGGCATTCCAGTTATCATACTATGGTGTTGTCTTATCTATATGGCAGCTGTAGGTAAATGTTGACAATTTAAAGGTATCCCCTATAAATCAGAGTATATTGCCTTTCTCTGAGAAGGACACCCATTTGCTCTCTGTTCATAGAATATCAGGGTTGGAAGGGACCTCAGGAGGTCATCTAGTCCAACCCCCTGCTCAAAGCAGGACTTAATCCCAACTAAATCATCCCAGCCAGGGCTTTGTCAAGCCTGACCTTAAAAACCTCTAAGGATGGAGATTCCACCACCTCCCTAGGGAACACATTCCAGTGCTTCACCACCCTCCTAGTGAAAGTTTTTTCCTAATATCCAACCTAGACCTCCCCCACTGCAACTTGAGACCACTGCTTCTTGTTCTGTCATTGACTTGTCTTCACAGCTTTGGTAGCTCAAGATATAACTTAAGTGTTGCCTCTCACCCAACTCCTGCCCACACCCACAAATGTCTTGCTTGAGTTAAGTGGTCCTTTAACCTCAAGCTAGGTGCCCTGTCAGGGATGAGAGTTGGAGTTGGCGTGCTGCTGAATCCAGAGCTGGGGTTTCAGTGACTTGAGTTAAAGCTCCTCGGCTGCTAATCCAATCGTTCTGTGTAGTTCGTGGTTGCCCTCACTTGAGCTAAACTAGCTTGAATGGTGTGACTGGAGGGTATTAGTAATTCAAGATAACAGTTGCAGTGAAGACAAACCCTAATAGAAGAGGAGGTTGGGAGGAACATACATGCCAACTCTCTTGATTTTTTTTCTCAACAATAAAATGTTGGAAGTAGTCGTCAGAGTAATAGACAATTTCATGTCCTCAATAATGCATGAGAAACCTGGAAGTGAATCAAAGAGCTGTCTAAAACAGATGAGCAGAGTGTCAACACTATTTTTTTTTTTTTTAAATTGGTATTTTGCCATGTAGCGTTCTAACAACATAATTGTTATACGGATAAAAGTAGATTTGCATTTACCTGGAAAGTGAACAGAAGAGCTAACTTTACTGCACCTTTGGGAGGAAGGGATGACGGTGATCAAGGCACTGGACTGGAACTTGGATATCTGGGTTCTCATCCGGACGGTCACAGACATTGACATTGGGCAGGTCACTTAATCTGTGCCTCAGTTCTCCATCTGGAAAGTGAGACTAAGGCTTTTCGTCCTGGTCATGGTGGTGTGACGATAAACTTTTGTGTTTGTGAGGTGCTCAGACATTGCTGTGCTGAAGGACAGAGCCATAGAAAGCCTGTAAAGAAAGTAAGAGAATTCAGCTTTTTATCAATCAGATGTGTTTTAAGTCTTCCTTCATTATAGTATCTGGAATCCACCTTTCCTTTAAGTCAGGAGGGGCTTTGATAGGAGGGCGAGCATCTTTCCTCCAGCATGGGGTGGCCTTCAAATGTTGAGACCTGTTAGCCAGAGGCTCATGATAGAACCCACAAGCTGGGTCCATAGTCAGCAACCTGGTAGGAATCGCGGTAAGCAGTTGGGGTAGGGCTGGGCTTTTCATCCACGCATCATCCCTGAACTTCCTTGGGGAAGGGGCCCTCCTCATTTGCTCATGCATCATCCCCTGGCTAGTGAGTGACTGGCAAACTTTTAAGCCCTGACATAAAGGCTCCAGTGACTTGAATGTGCAGCCACACTCAATTTATATTTCTTCTCTCCTTCCCCTGTTTGGGTTTTAACCAACAACATTAAAAGGAAAAAAGGAAAGTTTGAGAACTGAAGCAGACTGAAATCCAGAGTTAGTTTCCCACAGCAGTGTTAACCATATTAGATATATATGGTACATAAATTAACAGTACAAACACTTACGCATATTGTGACTGAATTAATATTGCTTTGAGATTCCCTGAAGATACCTGGATAACTAACTCACTCTCTCTTTTTTTTTTGAGGTGTACAGGGGTCTCTGGTGTCAATAGTAGGTAAAAATTCAGTGAAGCGTGATTCTTATTTTTAAAAAAAATCTAAACTGATGGTCTCTCTCTCATGAGTTTGCACATAAGTTCTCAACCTTTTACATTTGTACAAACAGCACTTCTTCTATGTTGATCTTCATCTCCATGTCCTGTTGCATGGTGGATTGATTTAAATAATCAGTTTCAACCTAATTTTGCATTTGTACTTTTTAAACTCCTTTTTCCTAAAGATTCTCAATGGTTGGTGTAATTTATTACTTTTTTGTTCACCAGCACAACACTGTATCTATACACATTTATTTAAGCAGTTATATAGCTTAACATAAACTTCAGATTCTTAATTTCTGTTTTTTATTGTTAGAAAACAGTGAAGCATTTCTTATTTACTAGATTAACTTTTTTTTACTGACGATTGTTGAGCTGCATTTGGATGGAAATTGGAATGGAATTAAAAATGCACAAAACCAGCATTTTCAAATGATTGGTTGAATAAAATTATCTTAAATGTGCTGCATACATAAGAAAAAACGTATCGAAGCATTTACCATTTAAAACTGATTTATTAAACAAAGGAAATATTTATATTTCGTGAATCGAACGGATTGTTTTTGGTCACCCTATCCTGCAATATTTTAGAACTAGTA